ACAAAACAAAAAAACATGAATAAACATTTCAAGAATTTTAAGCACGATCGTATATACATCAAATATGATAAAGAAAGTCAAGAACGATCAAATTAGGATATTTCAAATAATACGTGCTTAAAATTCTTAAAATGTTTGTACATACGCGGCCATACAACGCGCATGGAAGCAGCTCATTTTCTTTACTTATTTTCACTTTTTTAGAAACATCTCTTTTCCTCACTTTTCTGTACAAAACTCACTTTCCTCACTTTTTTTCTGTAGAAATAAATATCAACAGTAAAATTGAAGGAGAGAATAAGAAATCATTCAGAACGACAACCGCTCACTGAGCGTTTATTGACCTTATGATGTAAAAATACAAAGTGTAGCATTGCGCATAATGGCGATAGCAATACTGGAAAAAATCAAATTTTGCCCAAAATTCACTCTCCTACTATGGCTGTGTTCCAAAATTGATTGCCAGTACTGAAAATCTATAGTGCATGTGATGTATACTGTAGATTTTCAGTACTGGCAGTAAATTTTTGGAACACAGCCTGTGCATCCATCTCTGTGACACAAGACGACTCATGCTTAAGTGTGTGGCTACTTGTCGCGCTAGGCTGACAAGTAATCGATTGATGGCGTTGATCGCGATGTCGTACCCAATGAGAAATGATAATGGACTCGACATCGAATCGACGTCGATTCGACATTGATTTTATTGTCATTTCTCACGGGATAAACCGTCTCTGATTTGGCATCTCTGGTGTAAACAACTCAAGCGCAATTATTACGGTCTGCTTAATCAGAATGTAAATAAAAACTGGATATTATTCTACGATATAAGTTACAAACAGTTATAAGTTTCTTAAATATTAAATTTTTAATAATAATTAATTATAATTTGTACGAATATTAAGGTATAGAGGTTATAATAAAGGGTGTCCCAAAATTATATAACGCAAGATTTGAATTAAATAGAAAACATAGTTTTTAGTCTTTTGATTGTTATTTTTTTATTGAATCATAAAGTACATAGGATAGGGTTATTTGTGGAATAACACATCGGGCAAATGGCCTTCACGGCTTTGCATGCACATACGCACTCGTTTGTCGAAATTTTCCATGATCATTTTGCATAAATGTGGCTGAATTTCGTTGATGCAGCGTTGAATCTCCTCCTTTAATGCACGGGTGGTTGTGGGCTTGTTGACATAGACCTGTGATTTCAAATAACCCCATAAAAAGAAATCTAATGGTGTTAAATCACACGATCTAGGGGGCGATTTTGGCGATTAACAAAGCCATCAAGGTGAAAATGTGCTTCATCGCTTAGGATGATTTTGCTCGAAAAATCAGCATCCATTTGTTGATGTTCAATAATCCATTTTCACGCTCCATTTTCACTAACCCTAAACTGTCAGCTGTTAAATTGTTTTTTTTTTTGGGGTTGCCAACACTTTACTGCACAAATGGCGGCAAATTCAAATCTTGCGTTAATTTTGGGACACCCTTTAATTATAAAATATTTTAGCACTAAAATCTGCTTTGACCGAAATAGACTTTCCATTCACTAATGTAATAGAGGTTATGTTTATGCAGTACTGTCTTTGAATTCTGTGAAAATGTTTTTATTTTTGTTATTATCAGGATTAAACATTGTACAGTAATAGAGAGAAGAATGATCTCTGAGAAGAGGATAGATAAAAATCCAAAACGTACTATTCGTGCAGAATGGTTATCAAGGATTGATGCGCTTGGTCATCAAATTAAATCGTGGGAAAGAAAAGTTGAATCTTCAATCTTATTCAGTGAAATCTATAATATGAGCCGCATTCATTGCAATTAAAAGATATTAGGCTATTTTTCAGCATGTAGCTTTTGCAAAGCATAAACACAATACAGATATTAAATTAATAATACTAGTTAATTACATCTCGATTTGATATTACATGCAGTAAAATTGATAAACTTTAAGAACTAAGTATTCAACCAGTTTCAAGCTAGCAGCTTTTCAAGTTCAAGTTTTTTTTGCCAGTTCGACACAATCTATTGTAGTATAAAATAGAATTTGTGTACATCACATGAAAAAGGAATTGTTGCAGAATTATTTTGGACCATGAAATGTGTACCATGATTTTGAGCAATTATTCTTCGTTATCATGTGAAGGAATTACAAATTTGTTTAGAGCTATATTCAGCACAGGTGTTCCTGGCACATTTTCACTTTCAGTAAGAAAAAAGTTGAATATTTGCAAACTGATTGCTTGGGTCCTTATTTTCTATTATAAATTAGTAAGTGAAGACGCACAGAAAGGCTCATTTGTGCTTTGTTATGATGAAATAACTAAATCAGAAGGAATGAAAGTGTGACAAATTTCAATACGATTTTTAGAAATTTTAAATGAAACGAAATCAGAATTTTTTAATGAAATAATCTTTTGTCATTTTCAAACATTTTTCTTAGGACATGCTACTGCTGAAATTTTAAAAGACTGTATATTTAATGTTTAAAAAAACAGTAATCTTCTCTCTGTGTAAAATTTTAATGGGACTGATAGATATAGAAACGTGCAATTTACATATAATCCATAATTCTTTTCAGAAAGCATTAGATTCTTTGGGATGTGATGTAGGTTCCTTTTTGATTCACGTCTAAAATTAGTTTTATGATTGGCCTAGCAGATTAGAAGATTATAGAGATATCCGAAGAAAGCTAAATGTTCTTCAACATAATTTTTTGAAACATATTCTTTCAAGATGGCTATCCGTGTGTGCTCCCGGTAAAAGAATTTTAGAACAGTGGCCTGCTCTTTGTGAATATTTTCTAAAGTTCATTCCACGTAAAATGCCTTTTACTCAATCATCACAAATGAAGAAATACTCTAAAATTAAGAATTATTTAAAATCTCCCATAATGAGAGCAGAAATTGCGTTTGTAATTGACAGTGCCAGTATTTTTGAAAAATTGTCTCATTTATTTCAAAAGGAAGAGCCTTCAAAAGGATGATTCAAATACTATACTCTGAAATGAAAGATTTATAGCAGATACTTTAACAGGCAGATTTTGCAAAAAGGAGACTTTACACCAAATGTATAACTGTAGAATTTACTTTTAACTAAAGATGTTAGATGTGAAAATTTAGTTGAAAATGAACTCTCTTCTCAAGATATTAAAGAAGTTAACATCCTCAATTTTCAAAAATTGACACGAGATCATTATAAAGCGGCAACAATATATTTACTTAAGGAATCTATTCTAAGTTCATCAACGTTCAGCAAAGCATTTTTATTGTCTTCTTCTTTCAAAAATCAAGAAAAATAGAAGTTTCCTAAGCGCAGAGAAAGTAGTAAAAATGTTTTCTCTAAATCAAATTTTAATAAATACATTCTTAGATGAATAGAAGATTCTTCAAAGAGAGGATCTTCCTGTATGGGACAATGGCCGAATAGATCATTACTGGAAACAAATTTTTGATCTAAAAAATAAACCAAAATATCCAAATATTCAGAAAATTATGAAGACTGCTCTACCTCTAGCTCATGATAGTTCTAGTAGATATTGAAAAGAATTTTTCAATCTCAATCCGTGTTTTGACAGATGATAAATCTAGAATGATGGAGAGAACTCTTAATGCCAAATTAAATATCAAGACTGGTTTGAAGTATTTTAATGGTAAACCTGAAATGGTGCCAATGATCAAAGATTTAATAATCTCTGCTAGATTTGCACACAGCAAACATCAGGAATACTCGGAAGAAAAGAAAAAAGAAGATAGAAAGACAATGAAGAAGAAGCACGGAAAACATTAGAACTTCTAAAAAAATAAATATAGCTAGATAAAAGCTTGAGAAGAAAGTAAAAGAAGTCAAAAAAACTGAGGCGCAAGAAGAAGCAGCAAGACTCACTTCTTCAAGAGGCAAGAAAAAGACTGAAAAAAAGCATTAGATAGTAAAGACATATATGAGGCTAAGATAACATATGGAATTCTTGAGGGTGCGGTGTCAATTAGAGAGCAATCATAATCATCTGAAGTTGAGCCGCTTCAAAAGAAACTCGATAATAAGAAATCATGTTTGATAATTTCTTTGCATAGCAAAAGAAAATAGAAAATAATGATAACGATTATGTCGTTATTATTTTATATTTCCTTTTTTATGGCATACAATGAAGAACTATGTGATTTAATTTAAAATAAATTAATTAGATCTACTTTAATGGAAAAATCCTTAATTTGTTTCTATTTTGAAAATTTATTTTTTAAAAATATCTTAATATATTTCTTGAAATATAGTGCAATGTAGCTTAAATTTTTTTTTTTTTAATGTGTTTGAAAAAGTCTAATTTCTGTTTGCAATGAAAGAGTTTTTATTATTAACTTGAATATTTATTATGCCATTTATCTAAAATTTAATTTGAATTACATTACATAATAAAAAAAATTTTTAAATTAGCATTTTTAACTTCATAGAAAATGTAAGATGTAATTTAAATACAAATAGCATGTCACAGGTAAACTAATTTTTGATAAATTCTTAGGAACATTCATTTTTTACTTTCAGGGAAAGACTCACCTTTTTTTTAATCAATTCACTATTTTCTCACTTTTATCACTACTTTTGATACTTATCGGTAACTCCGGCAAATACGCCACGCTGAGATTTACGCCGCAGAAATCAGAAAAAAATAGAAGGAG